TAGGTCTACTGGTATTTTGTCCACCACAATGGCTTGTACTCGACAGACGTACCTGCCTAAGCGTACTGATGGTTGTACCACCTGGTAGACTTGAGGTCCTGCATCTGTTACAAACCCTGAGATGTTGAATGACATCTGGGCTACAGGCCTTAATTGTAATTCATCTGCCAACTTTTTGGTGATATATGTTCTCTGGGATCCTTGGTCAAACAACCCACGGGTATGGACCTTGGCCCTCTTATTCAGGATGGTAATTTGGGCAGTAGGCAAAGTCGTATTACCTTTAGACTTTGCCGATTGGACACTGTTTGTTTGTTGCACCTTGCAGTACTGTACTGTGGTGGGAATGCTATCTTCCACCTTGGGGTTTGGAGACGTTGTTTTGGTGTCTCTGCACAATGCTGCATGGTGCTGACCTTTGTTACACCTATTACAGGTGTGTAATTGGGTATCACAGTCGTTGATGTTATGTTTCCTGAGGCACCTCGTGCAATGTTGCAAATCTTTGAGTCGCTCAACACGGGCGTCACTATCAGGAAAATTAGAGCAGTGGTACATTGAATGTTTCTCATTGCAGAACAAACATGTTCCATAGCTTCCTGTACCCTTTGGTGTCATGTTCTTGGATGACACAGTAACTATAGGCTTGGAGGGTCCCACTGCATATACGCCCACACTGCTACTGTTCCACTTTGGTGTTGAATTATATTGTCTAGATTGATTTGGAGTACCTTTGGTACTCTGTGGTTTACTATTATTGGTTTCTGAGGGTTTACTTGGTGGTTTTAATTTGTCATGTGTTCGTAATTGATGAACTACTGACTTTAAACCTTCAGATATTTCATTCATGGATAAGATGCTTTTATTGTAATGAGCACTTATTTGTCTCAATATGTCCCTAGGTATTTTCTCCTGGACAATTATTTTCAAGACCCACTCAGCCCCGTTTGTATCTGCTGTCAGGCTGAGGGCATTGATCAATGATTCTACCTCCAGCTTGAAGACTTGGAGTGAATCAGCTGAAGCCTCCGGTGGGGGTAAATGCAACAGCTCATGAACTAAATGTGATGTTCTTACTTCTGGATCAGCATAATTATCCTTGAGGAGTTTTACTGCCAGATCATAGCCGTCATTAGTTAATCTCAGATGGGATACTACTGTTTTAGCCTCACCTGATAATTGGCCTTGCAAATAAGAGAATTTACTACTCTTTGGTAAAGATTGTTTTGAGTCTACAAGGTCAACGAATTTGTTCCAAAATTCGTCCCAATCTTCCTCATCTTTTCCTGAGAAAGTGGGTAAATTAATTGGAGGGAGTCGAGCTTCTGCTTGACTCGTATTAGATGCAACTGTTGTTGTTGTTGCTGTTGCCTTGTTCTGGGCAATTAATTTGACATAAGGCTGTAACGTGGCCTGAGTGTGATCTTCATAATTCGCAAGATCAACCATAATGTCGTCTATTTCTGTTTCTGATAAATTGGTGTTGGCAAGTTCAGCCACATATGTTGCTATTTGACATTTGATTTGCTCAAATTTACCTGCAGCTGCTTGATAATAGCTTTCCAGGTCAGCATAATCAACTGTTGATTGTTGTGACAAATCTTCACATTTCTTGATCTGTCTTGTTAAGTGGCCTTTAAGACCTGCAAGGGTTCTTTTCATTCTCCCTGCATTATCCATACTGGCTCGTTGGTGAAGCCTTGTGGGACTTGTACTTGGGCTGCTCATAATACTGAACAAGCTCTAATGGTAGCCTAGGGTAAATTCTGCACTCACTAGGCAATAATCCTACCTCTACTAGAGGTTAGCACTTAAAATTAATACACATTATATATATACAATCATCCACACTAATGATTTGAGTGATAAACCAGTGTCATTGGAAGTACCTTTAGGTTAGCTCTTCTATATCACCCTAGGATGGTAGAGACACTAATTAATCACTCAAAGGTGTAATGATCATAAGTAAATTATTATATATACACAACTCGACTCGAGTTGATAAAAATTACACCCAAATAGGGTCTGGACCATTCATTAATGGTGCTAGGTTAATCAATATAGTACAACTGACTATGGTAATAATGGGACTAGGATGAACGAAAATAGTTCAACTAGTCAATGGTTAATATCCTACCCTGTTGTGGGTTGGCAATTAGTAAATATACTGTGAGAACACTAGTGCAGTATATATTAAATAATTCTCTATTTTGGAGAAATAATATACACAATTATTGATAATAGCCTCTTAATTAGCCTCTATGAAACTTCTAATATTATCTAGAAGTATTAAATATTATTAGTGACCTCGCGAAATAAACTCCACAAAATTCGTAGATAATCTCTCGCGAAATGTAACACCACGAAATCCGTGAACAATCTCGCGACACAGTCACTAATTTGGCTGGTTTCTATATTAGCGCTGTCATTTCACAGAATAACACTCCACCAAATCTGTGGGTGTGCGTGAAACCGCTGACGAAGCTGAACTGGGCTGAGGGAGGCTCCTGAGCTCCCTCGAGGCTACGCTGCCGTCTTGACTGCTGGCTTTGTTTAAATAACACTGCACTAGTATATTTAATGAATCCACTGGATAACTGGTTCATCCGGTACTAAGATGACCAAATGTGGGTTCATAGGACCGAATATTCCGGTTCCGAAGGTCCAAATAATGTGGGAACCGACCTGTGAGATTTATATTTATTTAATTTATATGAATTTATATTTACGTTAATTTATATACTTCGATAGCAATTTGTATAATGATAAGTGGACTGTATTTCTGCAATAATCTCATAATCTCACAAATCGATCCTCTACACATTAGGGGGGTTTATATTTATATGTATGCAGCCAATCAAACTACAGTAACTACATACATTGAAGAGGTTCCTTATCTTATAGTACAGCAGGTTAGTCCACCAGGTATAACTAGGGTGTAGACACCAAATTATCCTCTTTGAGGTAGCTTCCATATCACCCAGTAACTGGTGCACAAATCTTGCATCCTCGTCTTGACCTGTCAAAAGTGCGCTAGCTGTGAAGCCAGATACCTATATATGACAAGTATATCAGAGAAAACAGTACATGGAACATGAAGACCTGGCTTAATTACCTTTAGTATGAGGCGATTTCGCGTTCTAACCGGGTCACCCTATATAATGACATTAATGGCCACTAATGATAGATAATGGGTTTCGGAAAGAACACTTAACTTGATTTGTTGACAGCGTGTTGACAGATGGTACACCTTTGGTATCCATAACACTACGTCCAAGTAAAATTAACAGGAGCCGAATTTGCTCCCGTGTGAGCCTCTGGTCTCAATAAACAACAATGGCTGCCCTCCTTCCTCACTCACGCCTGGCCTACTTTGTCCAGATTTCAGAAAGTGATAGAAGGGTCACATTTACTCTACTTTAATATTGATAATTAAGTTAATTTATATAAGATGTTTTTATGATGGTAAAGTCCAAAGACTAATGTATTTAAGAACAATTCCCAGCAGAATAGCTGGTGAATTATAATAGTATGTGGTGATGATATCCCGTTTTCTATAGACGGTAATTCCACTACAAGTTACGTTTTCTATGGGTAACTTGTTGGTAATACAGCTATTATCTGTATGTATGATATTAAATGGTGTCGGATTTTCCGACAATATATATATATATTTATATATATATATATATATATATATATCTTTATCTCATTTCACGTTTTTGTCTTATTATTTCTCTCTCTCTCTCTCCTCTCTCTCTCTCTCTCTCTCTCTCTCTCTCTCTCTCTCTCTCTCTCTCTCTCTCTCTCTCTCTCTCTCTCTCTCTCTCTCTCTCTCTCTCTCTCTCTCTCTCCCCCCCCCTACCCTGGCACCAGCATATACCTAACCACCAGCCTCTCGTCCCCTCTATACAGACTACGGCTACGGCACCGGAGGCTACGGAGGCTACGGCAGCGAGAGTGGGTATGGGTGAGTGTCCCTGTCTCATGTCTCTCCCGGTGCTGGGTTACGGTTAATGGTTGATGCCTGCATGTGTCTCTCTTCCCCCCGTAAGCCGTCTCCCCTCTATACGGACACGCCAACATGAGCAAGAACACCGGTAAGCACACGCAGACACAGAGAAGCACACAGACACAAGGGCAGTACACAGACACAAGGACAGTACACAGACACAAGGGCAGTACACAGACACAAGGGCAGTACACAGACACAAGGACAGTACACAGACACAAGGGCAACACACAGACACAAGGGCAGTACACAGACACAAGGACAGTACACAGACACAAGGGCAGTACACAGACACAAGGGCAGTACACAGACACAAGGGCAGTACACAGACACAAGGGCAGTACACAGACACAAGGGCAGTACACAGACACAATGGCAGTACACAGACACAAGGGCAGTACACAGACACAATGGCAGTACACAGACACAGGGGCAATACACAGACACAAGGGCAGTACACACAATCACAGGGCAGTACACAGACACAATTGAAGCACATAGACAAACACACATCAGACAAACACCTGGACCTCACATCTGCCTTCAGCCTTCTTACACATGGTCCAATCAGCCTTTTATTAACCACTTCATAGCCTTGTGCTTGATAATCCATACATGGTATTCGCGGACCTTATCGTTGACCTACAGTGTAGCGACAATCCTGTCGTCCCTCAGGGCCATATGTTGCCTCCACGGCAGCTGCTGCGAGGACCATTTTGGTAATTTATATAATAACAATTCCTCTGGACAATGATAATATATGATTGCATTCATCATACGCTTGTATATTTGCCTGTTTGTGTGTATAGCTAACCTGTTTGTGGGAGTTGCGCTGAATGGCCAGCATTATGTGGCGCTCTGTTTGCTGGGTTGAATGTTAATGTATTACGATTGGTGTATTTGTGGTCATACAATACTACTGTATTTAATTTGGTTTGCTTGTTGTATAATTTTATTATATAATATTTATTTTGGAATTATTTGCAATGCTAGTTCTCAACAATTAATTGTTCATTAATTCGTTTTAATGCAGAATTATAAGTTTATTATTATTTGATATAACTTATAATTCTGTAGAAATAATATTGAAAATAATTATTATTTATAATTCTAGAGTAATAATATTGAAAATAATTATAATGTATAATTCTGTAGTAATATTATTGAGAATAAATATAATTTAAAATTAACATTAATTATAACAATTCGTAATGATTACGAATTAATCATTAATTAGTAGTAACTACAATTAAAAATAATAACTACAGTTAAAATAGTAAAAATAATGTTGCACAAAGAAAGCACATTAACGTGATGTTAATAACAAAATGTTATCGCTTGTATAATGCATATCATTGCTATCTTATTAAATATCAGATGATATTCAATAATATTATTGAAAAAAAAATCAGTTTATGAGGATTCGAACCTGCACCCTGGGGTAATCCCAAGCACACGCCTACCTTAAACCTCTGAACCACAATACAATATCGTGGTTCAGTGGTTTAAAGCGTGTGTGCTTTAGGAGCACCCATGGGTGCAGGTTCGAATCCTCCTCTTGGCTCAAACGGATCTTTTTCAATAATAAAGTTGAATATCATCTGATATTAAATAAGATAACAGTGATATGAATTATACAAGCAATAGCATTTTGTAATTAAAATATTAAAGTATAATGTGATCAGATATTAAATATCTATAATACCAAGATGGTGAACAGCAATAGAAAATAGATTCAGATAAGGGAATAGTTGTACAAAGAGTTATAAGGAATAAGGTAACTCGTCGAAACTCCAGAGAGAGACTTGCAGAACTTGAGAGAAAAGTGACAGAGATAAAGTTCAGAGTTGATAAGTGCTATGCCTTAAACTTGAGGAACTTACAGTGTCACCATCTATCTGGTGAAGGAAAGACCCAAAATATATATGTGGAAGTGTATTAAAAAACCACACTTTCGGATGTAACCTATAATCCTTGCTCAAGGTACTATATACAATGTTCTGATTGTATACAGTACCATGAGAAAGCCTGTAGGCTGCATCCGAAATTTTGGTTTAATATATTTACCATCTATCAGATTAACGATGCCGTTTTTTGGGTTAAACTGAGTAAGAGACTTTGCAGTTCTTGATGGTATTGACCTGAGGCGTGAGGCACTAGCAAGGGGGGTCACCGAGCGTAACGGAACACATATAATGAGTGCATTTATAACCCGAGGCGACAGCCATTACTGCACATATATACTTCGTTTAACAATTGTATTTGGCCCAGGGAAGACTTTATTTAGACTCCACTATCTAGTGCAGGTCATCGTATTACACAGTGGACACTGATTCTGAGGACAGGTTGACGGACCTCTCATACCAGGACAGATTGAGGGGGACCTCCCATACCAGGACAGGTTGACGGGGACCTCCCATACCAGGACAGGTTGACGGGGACCTCCCATACCAGGACAGGTTGAGGGGGACCTCCCATACCAGGACAGGTTGAGGGGACCTCCCATACCAGGACAGGTTGAGGGGGACCTCTCATACCAGGACAGGTTGACGGGGACCTCCCATACCAGGACAGGTTGAGGGGGACCTCCCATACCAGGACAGGTTGAGGGGGACCTCTCATACCAGGACAGGTTGAGGGGGACCTCCCATACCAGGACAGGTTGAGGGGGACCTCCCATACCAGGACAGGTTGAGGGGGACCTCTCATACCAGGACAGGTTGAGGGGGACCTCCCATACCAGGACAGGTTGAGGGGGACCTCCCATACCAGGACAGGTTGAGGGGGACCTCCCATACCAGGACAGGTTGAGGGGACCTCTCATACCAGGACAGGTTGAGGGGACCTCCCATACCAGGACAGGTTGAGGGGGACCTCCCATACCAGGACAGGTTGAGGGGGACCTCTCATACCAGGACAGGTTGAGGGGGACCTCCCATACCAGGACAGGTTGAGGGGGACCTCCCATACCAGGACAGGTTGAGGGACCACTCACACTGTCCCTGGCAGACTAGTCTTCATCTCCTCTATAGCCAGAGTCTTCACAGCAACTTCACCAAGGACCACTTGTACACAGTGACAAGTGGTCCCTGGGCTGGTTGGTGCTCCCAGTGTCGTCGCTGTGCACGGGGACGACCAGGTCTTGTCGTGCTGGCTGGTCGTGTGCGAGGACGACCAGGTCTTGTCGTGCTGGCTGGTCGTGTACGGGGACGACCAGGTCTTGTCGTGCTGGCTGGTCGTGTGCGAGAACGACCAGGTCTTGTCGTGCTGGCTGGTCGTGTACGGGGACGACCAGGTCTTGTCGTGCTGGCTGGTCGTGTGCGAGGACGACCAGGTCTTGTCGTGCTGGCTGGTCGTGTACGGGGACGACCAGGTCTTGTCGTGCTGGCTGGTCGTGTGCGAGGACGACCAGGTCTTGTCGTGCTGGCTGGTCGCCCCTTCCTCTCGCTCTCTCATTCCTGCTCTCAACCCTTGATTGACTGCTAATGTTCCTGAGTGTATATAAACGGCTCCGTCACTATTGTTTTGACGTATGGCTTCTTCCACATCACTTGTATTGCATTCCACATTATTGAACTCTTCTAACTAGAAAAAAAAACCTCTGTGGATTATTTAGTTAGTTTACATCTGTGTCCTTTTGTTTGTGAACAACCCATGTTAAATGTTGTCCTTGTCTGCCGTCTCTGTTCCCCTGAGGATTTTGTGTGTGGTGATCATGACTCCCCTGTTTCTTCTCTTCTCCAGTGACGTGAAGTTGAAGTCCTTTTTTCTTTCATCTTAACTCATACCTTTTTGTATTGTGTTAAAGTAGATTAGGACTCCCCTCTGCAGCTGTATATTCCAGAATTGGTCTGACGTATGTTATGGAGAAGCTACTGAACTACTCCTAAATGCAGCTTTTATTTTGGACAGTCATGAATAGCCAGCTGATGATATTTGTTCTAGTAACAAATTCTGTTTAATATCGACCTCCAAATATTTTTTTCCATATACCTGAAGGATTTTCTGTTATATGGTAGTTTGTATCCATCCTTATGTTCCGAGCACCCAGGCTCATTCCATGGCACTTTCTATAGTTAAACTCTAGTAGCCACTTGTTGGACCATTCTTAAAAGTGTTCAGGTCACCCTGTAGTTTCTTGCAGTTTTTCATAATATTCATTTCCATTGTTTTCCATCATCGCCAAGTATTGAGTGGAAGCCGTCTATTTCCTCTAGTAATTCATCCACATAGATCAGGAATACCATTGGCACTGGGACTGACCGCTGTAGGACATCCTGTAAATCTTTGGGGAACATCTTGTAAATCTTTGATCGCTCCTCACACTGGCACTCTGTTTTCTTTCTCTGAGGTGCTCCTTTATCCTCTGCAGGTAGAATAGGTAAGTGAATGTAGGTGTATAAAGGTGTAGGAAGGTGAGTGGAAGTGTAGGAAGGTGAGTGAAGGTGTAGGAAGGTGAGTGGAAGTGTAGGAAAGTGAGTGAAGGTGTAGGAAGGTGAGTGAAGGTGTAGGAAGGTGAGTGAAGGTGTTGGAAGGTGAGTGAAGGTGTAGGAAGGTGAGTGAAGGTGTAGGAAGGTGAGTGAAGGTGTAAGAAGGTGAGTGAAGGTGTAGGAAGGTGAGTGAAGGTGTAAGAAGGTGAGTGAAGGTGTAGGAAGGTGAGTGGAAGTGTAGGAAGGTGAGTGAAGGTGTAGGAAGGTGAGTGAAGGTGTAGGAAGGTGAGTGAAGGTGTAGGAAGGTGAGTGGAAGTGTAGGAAAGTGAGTGAAGGTGTAGGAAGGTGAGTGAAGGTGTAGGAAGGTGAGTGGAAGTGTAGGAAAGTGAGTGAAGGTGTAGGAAGGTGAGTGAAGGTGTAGGAAGGTGAGTGAAGGTGTAGGAAGGTGAGTGAAGGTGTAGGAAGGTGAGTGAAGGTGTAGGAAGGTGAGTGAAGGTGTACGAAGGTGAGTGAAGGTGTAGGAAGGTGAGTGAAGGTGTAGGAAGGTGAGTGAAGGTGTTGGAAGGTGAGTGGAAGTGTAGGAAGGTGAGTGAAGGTGTAGGAAGGTGAGTGAAGGTGTAGGAAGGTGAGTGAAGGTGTAGGAAGGTGAGTGAAGGTGTAAGAAGGTGAGTGAAGGTGTAGGAAGGCGAGTGAAGGTGTAGGAAGGTGAGTGAAGGTGTAGGAAGGTGAGTGGAGGTGTAGGAAGGTGAGTGAAGGTGTAGGAAGGTGAGTGAAGGTGTAGGAAGGTGAGTGAAGGTGTAGGAAGGTGAGTGAAGGTGTAGGAAGGTGAGTGGAGGTGTAGGAAGGCGAGTGAAGGTGTAGGAAGGTGAGTGAAGGTGTAGGAAGGTGAGTGGAGGTGTAGGAAGGTGAGTGAAGGTGTAGAAAGGTGAGTGAAGGTGTAAGAAGGTGAGTGAAGGTGTAGGAAGGTGAGTGAAGATGTAAGAAGGTGAGTGAAGGTGTAGGAAGGTGAGTGAAGGTGTAGGAAGGTGAGTGGAGGTGTAGGAAGGTGAGTGAAGGTGTAGAAAGGTGAGTGAAGGTGTAAGAAGGTGAGTGGAGGTGCAGGAAGGTGAGTGAAGATGTAAGAAGGTGAGTGAAGGTGTAGGAAGGTGAGTGAAGGTGCAGGAAGGTGAGTGAAGGTGTAGGAAGGTGAGTGAAGGTGTAGGAAGGTGAGTGAAGGTGTAGGAAGGTGAGTGGAGGTGCAGGAAGGTGAGTGAAGGTGTAGGAAGGTGAGTGAAGGTGTAGGAAGGTGAGTGAAGGTGAGTGAAGGTGTAGGAAGGTGAGTGGAGGTGTAGGAAGGTGAGTGAAGGTGTAGGGAGGTGAGTGAAGGTGTAGGAAGGTGAGTGAAGGTGCAGGAAGGTGAGTGAAGGTGTAGGAAGGTGTAGGAAGGTGAGTGAGAGTGACAATACTGACACCAACGCTGCCCCTCCTCCCCCCCTCCAGGTTGTCATGTTCCTCAGGGTACGTGAACGCCTCCGCGGTGGCGCTCCTCGCCTTCCTCTTCCTCCTCAACATTATCCAGGTGAGACTCCTCCTCTTCTCTCTTCCTCCTTCTTCTCTTCTTCGTCTCTCTCCCTCTCTCATCTCTCTTCTTCTCTTCTTCGTCTCTCGTCCTCCTTCTTCGTCTCTCTCTCTCTCTCTCTCTCTCTCTCTCTCTCTCTCTCTCTCTCTCTCTCTCTCTCTCTCTCTCTCTCTCTCTCTCTCTCTCTCTCTCTCTCTCTCTCTCTCTCTCTCTCTCTCTCTCTCTAAGAATGTTAACACTTTATATATATCAATTTTCACTACTGGGAATATTTTGATAAATATTTCCTCTTTTTTTTGGTTTGAGAATATATTGGTTTTTATATACTATTTTTCTAAACATAATAATAATATTTATTATATTTTTTAGTAACATTTTTGAACGTTCTAAATACATTAATATTTGTATTTGTTCCAACTTCTGAATATTTGCTTAATTCTTCCCAGAATATATATATATATATATATATATATATATATATATATATATATATATATATATATATATATATATATATATATATATAGTTTAAAGTTCATATTGTTTAGAGAGAATTCATAATATTTGTACAATTCTATTTATCTTTATTTAAATTTTCCAATGTTTATTTTTCTCGTGTATCATATTTCAGTTCTTAAATTTAAATTTATATTTTCCACCTCTTTTAGCATTCTTGTTCTAATATTCTGTGTTTTTATTTTAATTAGCAGTGATATTATATAGATATTATATAGATATTATATAGATATAGGTATATCATTCTAATTCTCATGTTCTAGTTTAATAATGTCAAAAATTCTAGTTTTTGACATTTCTAATTTTCATATTTCATTTCTTAGACACATCATATTTTAAATCTCGATTTCCAGACCTTTCATACTCCAATTCTTTTCTTCTAAATTCGTTTTCGTATCACCGTTCGGACACCAGTTCGTATAATGCAGATAGTGTTTCGTTCATCGTCCGAAGACCACAATAATTATCCCTATTTAGCCCAATTTCGCATAATAATCAACCGAAATATTGATTATCCGGACATATTTAATCCGAATTTGGTTCCTCGAGTATACTTATACTCGTGAATACGGCTCTTTTGTATGGAAATGTGGAATTTTCAGGCGTTTAACGTTTGAATGATATAGTGGATAGGGCTGGGACGGCGCTTGTTAGTCTGGTGGCCCAGGGTGGTCCAGGATGGTCTAGGGTGATCCCAGGGTGGCCCAGGGTGGCCCCAGGGTGGCCCAAGATGGCCCAGGGTGGTCCAGGGTAGTCCAGGGTGGTCCAGGGTGGCCCAGGGTGGCTCAGGGTGGTCCAGGGTGATGCAGTGTGGCCCAGGATGATCCAGGGGGTGGGGGGGGTTAAAGTTAACTCGGGAGGTTACAAGTGGCCTGGGTTAGCTTCAAGAGTCCCAGGGGTGGGTTTCAAGAGTCCCAGGGGTGGGCTTCAAGAGTCCCAGGGGTGGGTTTCAAGAGCCCCAGGGGGTGGGCTTCAAGAGTCCCAGGAGTGGGTTTCAAGAGCCCCAGGGGGTGGGCTTCAAGAGTCCCAGGGGTGGGTTTCAAGAGTCCCATGGGGTGGGCTTCAAGAGTCTCAGGGGTGGGTTTCAAGAGTCCCAGGGATGGGTTTCAAGAGTCCCAGAGGGTGGGCTTCAAGAGTCTCAGGGGTGGGTTTCAAGAGTCCCAGGGGCGGGTTTCAAGAGTCCCAGGGGTGGGTTTTAAGAGTCCCAGGGGGTAGGTTTCAAGAGTCCTAGGTATGGGTTTTAAGAGTCCCAGGGGGTGAGCTTCAAGAGTCCCAGGGGGTGGGCTTCAAGAGTCCCAGGGGGTAGGTTTCAAGAGTCCTAGGGGTGGGTTTTAAGAGTCCTAGGGGGTGGGCTTCAAGAGTCCCAGGGGGTGGGTTTCAAGAGTCCCAGGGGGTGGGTTTCAAGAGTCCCAGGGGGTGGGTTTCAAGAGTCCCAGGGGTGGGTTTCAAGAGTCCCAGGGGGTGGGTTTCAAGAGTCCCAGGGTGGGTTTCAAGAGTCCCAGGGGTGGATTTCAAAAGTCCCAAGGGTGGGTTTCAAGAGCCCCAGGGGTGGGTTTCAAGAGCCCCAGGGGGTGGGTTTCAAGAGTCCCAGGGGTGGGTTTCAAGAGTCCCAGGGGTGGGTTTCAAGAGTCCCAGGGGGTGGGTTTCAAGAGTCCCAGGGGGTGAGTTTCAAGAGTCCCAGGGGGTGGGTTTCAAGAGCCCCAGGGGTGGGTTTCAAGAGCCCCAGGGGTGGGTTTCAAGAGTCCCAGGGGTGGGTTTCAAGAGTCCCAGGGGTGGGTTTCAAGAGCCCCAGGGGTGGGTTTCAAGAGTCCCAGGGGGTGGGTTTCAAGAGCCCCAGGGGTGGGTTTCAAGAGTCCCAGGGGTGGGTTTCAAGAGCCCCAGGGGGTGGGTTTCAAGAGCCCCAGGGGTGGGTTTCAAGAGCCCCAAGGGGTGGGTTTCAAGAGTCCCAGGGGTGGGTTTCAAGAGCCCCAGGGGTGGGTTTCAAGAGTCCCAGGGGTGGATTTCAAGAGTCCCAGGGGTGGGTTTCAAGAGCCCCAGGGGGTGGGTTTCAAGAGCCCCAGGGGTGGGTTTCAAGAGCCCCAGGGGGTGGGCTTCAAGAGCCCCAGGGGTGGGTTTCAAGAGCCCCAGGGGTGGGTTTCAAGAGTCCCAGGGGTGGATTTCAAGAGTCCCAGGGGTGGGTTTCAAGAGCCCCAGGGGGTGGGTTTCAAGAGCCCCAGGGGTGGGTTTCAAGAGCCCCAGGGGGTGGGCTTCAAGAGTCCCAGGGGTGGGTTTCAAGAGTCCCAGGGGGTGTGCTTCAAGAGTCTCAGGGGTGGGTTTCAAGAGTCCCAGGGGTGGGTTTCAAGAGTCCCAGGGGGTGGGCTTCAAGAGTCTCAGGGGTGGGTTTCAAGAGCCCCAGGGGTGGGTTTCAAGAGTCCCCGAGAGTGGGTGTCTCTCACGTCCAGGTATAACAAACTCATCAGATAATTAGTGAACGTGCTGGTAACTGCGTCAGGTGAAGCCCATCAAGAACATGCCAAAAATATATTGAAACGAAGAAATCAATTTATTATATAATAAAATTATATATTGCATAAATAGTCTAATTTCGCTTACCATTCAATATATAAAGAAGTTAACAGAGTATCACATAGTAATCCCCTGTATATAAAGGACAATTAACAGGTATGCGGCGCCCAGGATAAAAAGCATGAGCATCAGGGATTCGTCAAGCATTTATTTGCCCACTTACGAAACCTGTCCATCTTCCGTTGATCATGGTGGCTAGGTCTGTATTTAATAAACAGTTTATAAACCTGGTAACTTCATAATCCAAGGTTATTATTGCTATAAACAACCTTGTACTGTTTCCCGGTTCATAATTAGCCGTTTAATAAGAAGTAAACTAAGCCTGCCAGGATTGAGGAAAGATGCACAGGTTTCGTAAATTAACACCTGTAAGCGCTTGACGACTCCTTGCCACACAGCGCTCAGAGAACAACCTGTTCTCCTAAAATAACGTTGCTTTTCGCTCGTATGCGCGCTATGGCCAAAAAAGGACGCAATTTGAAATGAAATCGGCTCACGAAAGTGATGTACTGCCCCGTTTTCTGTTTAAGTCCTCTGGCTTTCTTGGTTAGGTTAGGAGAGGAAATTTTCAATTAACGGTTTTTATAGACGTTTTGAAACTTTAGAACTTCCTGCCCTCCTAACCTACCAGAGGACCCCAAACTTGCTGTTTTGAAAAAGAAAAATCCAAAATTTATTTTCCATTATTTTTCATTTTCAAATTACGTCCATTTTCGGCCATACGGGCAAATGGCCACATTCACACGTAATTTGTAAGAGAACAGGTTGCAGAAAAAAATCTGTACTTGAACTCTTGAAGAGCAAGACAAGCTCAGATTAGAACTGTTTCATGGTAGTAGTAGTGAGGGAGGTAGAGAGTGTGTGCGTCCACTAACCTTTCCCCCACCCTGGGGGCGCGGGTGTCCGCCCTACAGGTACTCCATGACCAAGTATGTGGACTGCAGCTCCGCCTTGGCCATCCTCTCTCTCATCCTCTTCATTGGTGTCCTCAGGGTAGGTGCTGGGTGGGTGGGTGTGGCTAACACCATTTCAAGGATGTGATTGGCTGGAACAAGGCTGTGGATGGGTATGATAAGGATCTGGATGGGTATGATAAGGATCTGGATGGGTATGATTAGGTTCTGGATGGGTATGATAAGGTTCTGGATGGGTGTGATAAGGATCTGGATGGGTATGATAAGGATCTGGATGGGTATAATACACAATGGTGCAATAACAGTATGAGTACGCAGTTAATACAACGCTCTGAAATGGTGTATGATACAGTAGTACAAAGTGATACAGTATAAGCGCCTATAGGGCGGGCATATACAAGTATATAAGGTCATACACATGGTGTATACAGACACGGGGATGAAGCCCTCTTATATACACCTATAATAAGGATAAGGGTCCCGGTAGTGCAGTTGGCTTCGTTCTCGAAACACAATCGGGAATTAAGGATTTAAAACCTGGGCGGGACAGAAATGGTTGGGCGCATTTCCTATCACCTAATGATCCTGTTCACCTAGCAGTAAGTAGGGACTCTGGAGTCAGTCAGCTTGTTGTGGGGTTGCATCCGGCGGAGGGGGGGGGGGGGGGGAGGAGGTAATTCTCGCATTCGCCGTCGCGTTTATTTTTGGGGGGGGGGGGGACCTCGATATAAGCCTAACGGGTATGAATACACTCTGGCTTCCTGTCCCCGCGACACAATGAAATATTATTATTATATTTATTAAAAATACAGCGGTGCATAAAATGTGAAGTAGTAGTTCAGTGCATTGATGTATCATACAGTGGTGTATGTGTATTTATCTAAGGTCTGTCATCTTTAGTTGTCTCCATGGGGACAGGATGCCGGCGACTTAGCAAAGGTCACCACATATATGAAGGGGGTTTTATGTTAGTGCGACAATGCCCAGATTTATGGTATTATATAT